AGAGGAGAGTGACTAACTGGGATGATTACCTGGGCCGACACATGAGGTGGTACGATGATGGCCAGAAGCACCGTCTTCGTCTCAGGCCTCGATGGACGCCGGAAGACATCGCGGAGCTGGAGTGGGCTGACCCCGATGAACAGGCATACCAGACCGGCATCAGAGACATGCACAATGGATTTAGGGAGTTTGCACCCCTCATCAACAGAGTGGTACGTTTGAATCGACGGTCGTATTTAAAATATTTTATTCGTCAACGTGACTGACTTATGTCGTTGCAGTCCGGTGAGCTGAACAGATGCATCTTTGAAGCCTCAGATGCACTAGGTCATCTTCCCGGGAGCGTACAATCTGAGACCAGAGTCAGGGGGCGATGAATGTACAATTTCAGCCTCCTCGGAATAGATGCATCTTGTTCACTTGCAGTCAGTCGATCTGATACTTATTATGACCTTGCTTCATTGTGAGTGCAGAAGTTCGTGCAGCGTTGTCGCAAGCTGGTAGGGCTTCTTGGGTGTGCTGGAGCTGGGTCAGTTGAAGCTCATCAGCCTGTAGCCACACAGGGTATCATCGGCTCATTGAGCCATGCTCCCTCGTCGTCTAGGTTGGTTGGGGAGGAGGAGGATGAGGAGGAGGAGGAGGAGGAGGAGGCCACATATGAAGAAGGGGAGGAGGAGGATGAGAGCAACGGGGAGGAGGAGTACGATGAAGATTATGGACCTCCAGCAACTCAAACGTCTCAAGCATCTCAGCTGCCGAAGAAGAGGAATCCGAAGACGAAGGATTTGCTGAGTCCGGAACCTTTCCAGAGACCGGTTCCTCGACGGCCCAAGAAAAAGACCAAAGAGAATCGTTCAAAGAGTAACGAGGGCCGTACCTCCAAGAGGGGAAGGAGCAACTGATTATGCTCTTCGATAGTTGGCTCTTTTAGTTTGGTTGAACTTCGTTTGATTGAACTTTTCTAGTGGTTATGAAGCTACGTGGAACTATGTGTTTGCTATTTGTGGATCTATGTGTTTGCTATTTGTGAAACTATGTGGAACTCCGTTTACTAATTAGTTGAAGTTCGTTTGAAATGTTCTATGCACTTCAAATTTGTTAATGTGTATGTGATGCCCAAGTTTAATTGTTTGAGATTTGTGATATTGTTGTCATATTTGTGAAACTTGCGATAATATTATTGTCATATTGAATTTGAAAAGAAGCAAGCAATTGAACATAAATTCATAAAACACAGGACCCTACCGCCAAGGACCCTGGCGGTAGGGTCAGACAGCCTACCGCCAGGGCACTTCAATTCTTCGTTACAGAATCATTACACTGAAAAAACAAGACCCTACCGCCATGGGCTCTGGCGGTAGGGTCGCACAGCCTACCGCCAGGGCCCTTCAATTATTCGTTACAGAAACATTACACTGAAACAGGACCCTACCGCCATGGGCTCTGGCGGTAGGGTCGCACAGCCTACCGCCAGGGCTCCTGGCGGTAGGTGCTTAACCACGTTCAGCGCAGTCAAACGGCCGCCGTCCCCCTCCGTCGCACCCCTACCGCCATGGGCCGTGGCGGTAGGCTATCTAACCCTACCGCCATGGGCCCTGACGGTAGCAAAAGGGTCAAATCTCGAAATTTTTTCAAACAGGGATTAGATCCTGAAATACTATCCAAAAAGGGTCAAAACACGAAATTCGGCCGGCTTGGGTCATAGTGGGATTCTAGTGGGTCATAGACAAAGATTATTTCGCAAAAAAGAAAAAATAGACAAAGATTATTGCTCTGGGTAGAAAGCTAAGCTTAATGTATGAAGCACTTGCAAGTTGCATGCATGATCTGAATGCATGTGGTGTGGGCGGCCACATTGGTCAAAGACGTATAAACATCGAAACTGAGCCCTTGCGTGACCTGAATTTGTAAACATACTGATACGCGGTTCTTTTGCTCCGACAATAATAATCTAACGGGAAACGTTTGTATACGGCGGACTGGCCGAGCGTTCGGCCGGTCACACGCGAGCCACTCGATCGGGGGGAATCTTGTGCCCCGTTTTCACCTCCCTCGCGAGCCTTATCCACTGTCGTTCATCTTCCTTGTAAGAAAAGGATGCCGCACCCAATCTTCTCTCTTCGCTCACCCTCCCCTCCTGCTTGTTCCCATGTTCAATCTGCTAGGCCGCTCCTATCTCTCCCTTTTTTCATGCAGCAGGTTCATGGGTCGGAGGTGTCCCTCATGGAACACGAGCTGCAGTGCGTTTTTTTGCCTAGAACACAAGGTCGGCGCGGTGCCGTGAGTGCACGGGCCGGCGGCGACGGACTGCCCTGCTAGTGCAGGCGACCAAGGTGTTGCAACCAGCAAGCCCAGGAGCTACTACCCAAGGCATGAGAATCTGCGACGACGAGGTGCAGCTTGCATGTGGGGATGGGATGGGAGGGGACATCACCGGAGCTGCGAAAACGGCCACGTCCAATGTTACAACCGGCGTTCGAGGAAGCTACAGCCGGCGGCGTCAAAAGCTTCAACCTGCATCGACGGATGCTGGGGCTGGCCACTGCCAACAGAAAAATGCTACAATCGACGGAGAAGAAAGCTACAACTGGTGTCGCAAAAAGCTTCAACCAATGTTGACGGAAGTTGGGGGCGAGGACAGCCAAGCAAAAAAGCTTCAAACTGGTGTAGAGAAAGCTACAACCAGCTGCGGAAAAGCTTCAACTAGAGACGCCGGAAAACTATGGGACGACGGTAAAAGTTGGAACGAGTGTTGACGAGAGCTGCAAGCGGCTACGAAAAAAGCTTCAACCAGCCTGAGGATGCTACAGCCTACAACCATGGCCCAAGGAGTCTTGAACTGGCCTGCAGGGATGCTACAAACCATTGCCGGATTTTTTCCGGAGCCGGCTGTGAGGAAAGCTGGAACCATGGCTTGGATATGCTGGAACCAGTATGTGGGGATGGTACGATCATGATCGTATTTTGCCGGAGCAGTCTGCGGGAGGAGACCAATAATACTGTAGCGACGGCCGGCATGGCTGCGAGGTCACAGCGAGTGCGCTTAATTACGGGGACCGCGACCAGCGGGGAGGGAGGCGGGCTGCTACCGACCGCGGGGCGGTGGCCGGAGTAGGGCGTCGGGCTGCTTGGCCGGAGGAGCGCGCTCAATATAATGGTGTGTGGGGGAACTGTTCGCTGAAGCGACAGACAAGGGTAAGAAAAGACGACCCAGTCTGAGAAGAGATGAAGAGATCTGGGGCGCTCGATCTGAAGCGATCGTACGTTGCAGGTGCGACCGGCCCAAACTGGGCCGGTCGACCGGCGCCTAGTGCTCGCCTAATCTAACACTGTGAGCAACTACTAGCTATTAGTAGCACACATGTTTATATTCGTCGTCGGTGTAACGGTGTTGTCCTTATCCGTTAAACGAAACACACACTAGAAATCTCTCCTAAAGCACTCACGCACATTCTTCCTCGGGTTTCCTCGTTTCCGCGCCTTTTCCTACGCTTGTCCTACCACACCTTTTCACGGAAGCAAAGCAAGCATGCTTTAATTTTTGGTCAATGCAATGCAATGTAAGGCCAATGCAAACTTATCCATTTGATTAACTGTCCTTTTTAAAAACTAGAGCCCCAACAACCAGGAATTCTGGTCGATCTCCATCCCCGCCCCCACTCAATACCGCAATGGTTTTGAGGGAAAAACAATCGTAATGGGATATAAACAATGCAGTTTAGACGATGACAGAGAAGCCTTAACGCACCACATGCTCATATTCAATATGCACATGCATATCTGCGAGCTGATTTCTTTGCCTTCGAGGGGGCGATGCTTCAGTGCCTTAAGACACCTATCTTTATGTCCTTGATATGTGGACCCACATGTCAATGATCCAAAGGCAGATGCCTTTAAGGCACCGAAGGCGTCCCACCGTCTCACGATAGGAAATGACAGCTGCGTCGCATGGGTCGAGCCATCTGGCTGGCCCCTGGCCGGACGGCTCGCCACCAAACCAACGAGGCCCGCCACGACCGGCCGGCGCCGAGATGGTTCGCTGACGAGGAGCGTCGTCGGACGCGACGCTTACTCAGACCACCGTAGGCGCCCTGGAAGAAAAGCAGCTCAGACCTCAGAGGAGAAACCAAAGAAAGCTAACATGCACTGAGAGCGAGACTGACCGAACGTGCAGTGACGGTGCCTTCCATTCCATGCACGCGCGAACCTTCTTGCTTCTTCTTCTAATCTTCTTTCGCACTCCTGTACGTAGGGTGTAGGCCCCACTGCGCAAATTTTATCCAGTTCTGCTGCCACGCCATCCCTGTCACTGAATCAGCTCGCACGAAAGTGCGGTAACGTGTGTCTACACATAGTCGTGGCACCATGGTATTGCATCCGCTCAAAGCTTTGGCGACTTTGAACACACGGCACTGCAAACCTAAAAATAATCTGAAGAGGAAAGTGACAATTCGGTTGCGTTGCATATATACTTTGCAGAAACAGGGATTAATCAACGGCTCACCGCCCGGCCGGCGACAAAGTTACGGAGGCCAGATTTTTCTCAAGCCCCGCAATTGGCAATTGCATGGGTGCATGTGACAGCCGGCTAGGCGAAGGCATCGTCGATCATGGTCCATGCACAAAAGTCTTGCAGTGGACCCTTGCACATGCAGCACAACACTAGGCAAGCACTAGGGGCCCATCTCCATATTTTATCCAGAATCCTTGTGGGCGTGGGTGACTGTTCCATTCAAAAGCTAATTGGAATTGGATGGGCACCCGGCTTTTGATCGATCGTCGACATGGGAAGTTTTCTACAGGTTCTGTAATCCAGAGCTTATAAAAGGCGACCCCCTCCTCCCCATCCAGAGCACGGAGCAACAAGTCACAACTCACCTCACCAGCAACCTCAGACAGAAGCAGGAAACTTAGGCGCAAAGGAAGGTAGCAGAGCAAGTCTTCACCTCCTCCTCGTCTTACGAGAGAAACAAGTCTTCGGTTCTTAGTTCCAACAGCAAATGGAGAAGGCAGGAAATGAGCATGTGATTGGCATTCCAGTGAGCAGCACTGCTATCGGCATCGAGGAGCCCGAGTTCAGGAGCGATGGAGCTACCTATGTCGACGATGCCAAGTATCCGACGAGAGTGCGTACCGGCGGCAAATCAGGCAGGGCAGGGGACAAATTCGCTCGAGGAATCAGAGAACATGGTAAGTCCTCCCCCGATCCATCTGGATGAATCAATTATCGTCTTTCCTGTTCATCTGTAACTTCAGTTGCGAATTGGACACTGATCATAGATATGTCCCTTGATGTTTCTGCAGTGACTCTCGGCCCAAGGCTGTACGAGACCGTGAGGGGCAAGCTGTCGCTGGGCGCGAGAATCCTCCAAGCCGGCGGCGTGGAGAAAGTCTTCCGGCGGTGGTTCTCGGTCGAGAAGGGAGAGAAGCTCCTCAAGGCCTCGCAGTGCTACCTGTCCACCACCGCCGGCCCGATCGCCGGGATGCTCTTCATATCGTCGGAGAGGGTGGCCTTCCGCAGCGACCGGTCGCTGGCGCTGACCTCGCCCAAGGGCGACACGGTGCGGGTGCCGTACAAGGTGGCCGTCCCGCTGAGGAGGGTGAAGGCGGCAAGGCCGAGCGAGAACCAGCACCGGCCGGAGCAGAAGTACGTCCAGTTGGTGACCGACGACGGCTTCGAGTTCTGGTTCATGGGCTTCGTCAGCTACCAGGCGTCCCTGCAGCACCTCGAGCAGGCCATCGGCGCGGCAGGGGGTGGGATGAAGGTGCAGTCGTCGCTCGGCGCGGGCACTGGGAGCGGGAGGCACTTGCGGCCTACCACGGCGTGAAAGCTACGCGAGCGCACGGCGATGCCGATCACCGTCTGACTTACAACACGGGCAGCATCGTGATTTGGGAGACCTCGTCGGCCTCGGCAACTAGGCGCAGACAACATCGCCACCGGGAGCTCTGCAAGGTGTGAAGACGGGCGCTCGCGCGAGCCGACATGGCATGAGGCCGAGGTTGTGGAGCTGGTGGCTTACGCGACCTCCCTATACGTGAGGCTGGAGGTGGACGACGAGCCGCGCGAGCATGGCCGTGAGGACGTCCCGAGCAGGGCTACGAACCTTGCAGCGGGGGCCCTCTAACGGCGTGTCGATGGGCGTCATAGATTTGTGGGCCGCGGAGTGTGCCAGTAGCAAGCTGTGGCGGAGGCGCGGGTGAGAGTGATGATAATTCTCAAGGAAATGGCACACTGAAGGGTGTGTTTGGTTCCGAAACGAACTGGAATGGAATGACACGCTAAGGTGTCAGTTCCGTTGACATGTTTAGTTGGGATATAGAATTAAATGGTTTAATTTTAGTAGCAGTTGGTTTGAGAAATACTCCCTCCGTTTTAAAATAGATAACCTTATTTTGTACTAACTTTGTATTAAAGTTAGTACAAAGTTGTGTTATCTATTTTGGAACGGAGGGAGTAGAATGGAAAGAATTTAGTTCGACTCACCTCTTGTATAGAAATGGTGAGGTTGCCTCTCATATGCATATATAAAATATGAACAAAGTACAAAATCTTTGTATTTCTAGAAACATATTGTCAAAAATTTAGGAAGCGTTGACCTTGATTATACTATGACATCAAACATGCCATTCATTTCCATTGAATATTTACATTGAAATGTTTTCTATTTTGAATATTTAGAACAGAATAGAAAAAGAAATGGAGTCATCTCCCCCTCCCTCTTCCCCTTCCTCGGGCGACGCGAATGGAGCGAGACAAAATCCCCAACCAGCTCGCCCCCACCTACCCCACATTAGTTCGAGTCCTCCCCGCCCCAACCTCCAATTACCACCTTTCATGGCAGGGGCGCGCCGCGGCGGGCTGCGGATCCGTCGGCTTATGCCGGTGATGCGAGTGGTGGAACCACTGGCACCCTAGTATTCGGAAGGCCGAACTTGGGGCGCTATACACGCCTAAATTGGGCAAAAACCGATTCGTCACCTGAAGCGGAAAAAGTCTTTAAGAATTTTGAGACCTCTCGAACATCAACCAGCTCTCGCCGCATCATGACAGTCAGTTTTCGGTTTTCTCTACTGCGGTGCTCGTCCGGAAGAACCGGGACACAATCACAGTAGTTCTCCATGTGCCGCCTTAGCCAGTATAGCAGAACGTAAGGTGGCAAAACATGGGAGCCGGGCAAACCCAACATTTGACCAAAGACATGATTCGAAGCCAATGCATATAATGCTATAAGTTCGGGGTGCCGAACTATGCTATAAAGTGTTCGGACTTGCTTGCCATGTTATGGGTACACTGAAGCCCCTGGCGAATTAAAGCGTACCAAATTGTACGAATGCAGTAAATATAGAGACAAGGAAATGATGAATAAGGAGCAAAATGCATCAAGTTAATTTCCATTGTGATTTGAATAATACGTCAAAGCGTATTTGCACCACTCATGCGAGAAGCTAGCAAGGCTATTTAACATGCCGTTTACCAAGAGCAGGCTGCGTGCTGGTATGTAAACAGGAATAACGATCGTTAGCAGAGACCACCTGGGAATTCCCTTGTACGTCAAAGCCCCTGGCTTCTCTTGGTGTATTCTTCCGCGATGGGTTTGATGATCAGGTTATCAGAAAGAGCCTTAAGAAGAGAAAACATGAAAGGATAAGAAAAAGTGAGGGTATGCGGATCCAAGAGCGGTTGAGCCGCGGTCTGGATCACAGTCTAGCTGTGCCTCCGTCTATGCCAATGGTATTTTAAGTGTGTAGTTACGTACGCACGGCACAAATTGAACCGCTTGATTGGGACTAGAACGAAGGCCGAATTTCTAGGTGAGCTCTAGGCGAGCCGGATGGTTCTGCTGTAGAGCAGTTCGGACTCGTTTAAGATTGTCTGGGGGCCTTATTGCCGAATTGAGGTTCTGTCTAAGAAGGCTGCTTTGTGCTTCTGCTGCCAGTGCCGCGGTGTGCTCCTCATTGCGGAGGGAGCGCTCCGTATTTCCATTGACTGTTATGACGCCGCGAGGTCCGGGCATTTTGAGTTTGAGGTAGGCATAGTGTGGTACCGCATTGAATCGAGCAAATATGGTCGTCCGAGCAGTGCATGATAACCACTGCGGAAGGGGACGATGTCGAAGATCAACTTCTCGCTTCGGAAATTATCTGATGATCCGAAGACCACTTCCTGTGTGATTGAGCCTGTGCAACAAGCCTCTACACCTGATATGACACCTTTAAAGGTGGTTTTAGTGGGTTTGATCCTTGCGGGGTCGATGCCCATTTTGCGCACTGTGTCTTGATAGCAGGTTCAAGCTACTGCCACCGTCCATAAGGACTCGTGTGAGGTGGAATCCATCAATAATAGGGTCAAGGACCAGTGCGGCTGAACCGCCATGACGAATACTGGTCGGATGGTCTCTACGGTCGAAGGTAATCGGACAGAAAGACCATGGATTGAATTTTGGGGCGACTGGCTCCATCGCATAGACGTCCCTTAGTGCGCGCTTTCGCTCCTACTTGCGTATATGGGTCGCGTATATCATATTCACCGTTTTGACTTGGGGAGGGAATTTCTTCTGTCCCCCTGTGTTCGGTGGCCGGGGATCTTCATCGTCATCGCTGTGCAGCTCTTTTTCCTTGTATTCGACATTTATCTTGCCGGCCTGTTTAAACACCCAACACTCTCTGTTGGTGTGGTTGGCTAGTTTATCGGGGGTGCCATGGATTTGACATGGACGATCGAGGATGCGGTCCAAAATGGACGGACCCGGATTGTTTCTTTTAAATGGTTTCTTCCGCTGACTGGACTTGGAGCCACTGAATCCGGCATTGATGGCCGTATCTTCGGTGTTATTACCATTATTTTGACGCTTGAATCTGTTGCGTGAGGGTTTGCCGTTGCTATCTCTGGCATCTGAAGCGCCAGGCTTTCTTGATGTGTTGCTGCTACGGGCTAACCAGCTATCCTCGCCCGCACAAAAGCAGGTCATAAGAGTCGTAAGGGCTGCCATGGATTTCGGCTTCTCTTGGCCGAGGTGTCGGGCTAGCCACTCGTCGCGGATGTTATGCTTAAAGGCCGCTAGGGCTTCAACATCCAGGCAGTCGACGATTTGGTTCTTTTTAGTTAAGTACCGAGTCCAGAATTTCCTGGCTGACTCTCCGGGCTGTTGGGTTATATGACTTAAGTCATCAGCGTCCGGTGGTCGTACATAAGTTCCCTGAAAGTTGTCAAGAAATGCATCTTCCAGGTTCTCCCAACTGCCAATGGAGTTTTCTGGTAGGCTGTTCAACTAGTGTCGAGCTGGTCCCTTGAGTTTTAGTGGGAGATACTTGATGGCATGACGATCATCACCGCGGGCCATGTGAATATGGAGAAGGAAGTCTTTAATCCAAACCACATGATCTGTTATCCCATCATATGGTTCAATGTTCACGGGTTTAAACCCTTCTGGAAATTCATGTTCCATTACTTCAGTGAAGCATAGGGGGTGTGCGGCGCCTCTGTGTCGAGCTACTTCGCGACGCAGTTCAGATGTAGCTAGTCTGCTATATTCGGCCCGGGTGGATTTGTATGTAGTGTATCCGGCGTGACGGTCATCGTCGCCTGTTGAGGCGCGCCCCCGCGATCCGTAGATCGATCTTGGCTGTCCCGCTTTGTCTTCCAATTTGTACCGCAGGTCATGTTTGTATCCCCGAGCCTTTGTGTTTTTGTTTGTTTGGCGACGGGGTGCGAGCTGGTGTTCGGACTGATATGCCGCTTTGTCCCGGCCACGAGGTGGTCGGTCAGCCGCGTCATGCGCTGGTAGTATGGGCTCTAATGCCTCATCCTCGAATTGAGGTAGCAACCTGCGTCTGGGGTAACTTTTAGTTGGGCGCTCGAGTCTATATTCCTCAGCTTCCAGGACTTCAGTCCATCTATCAACTAGCAGATCTTGATCAGCTCGAAGCTGTTGCTACTTATTCTTCAGGCTTTTCGCCGTGACTATAAGTCGTCACTTGAAGCGTTCCTGCTCGGCAGGATCCTCATGCACGGTAAATTCGTTGTAGCCGAGGCTCACCTCATCCTCGGAGAGGGGCATGTAATTGTCGTCCTCCGAGTCTTTGTTCGTGGCCTGCTCACTACTAGGAAAAGGGCTATAGATAGGATTGATACTAATGGCGCACCAGGTAAGCAGTGCGCCACTACTATATACTAATGGCGCACCGGTTAGAGGTGCGCCATTAGTGTGGAAGACACTAATGGCGCAGCAGACACACGGTGCGCCACTAGTATTGAATTTTTTTTCCATTTTTCCATACATACTAATGGCGCATGATGTCAAAGTGCGCCATTACTAGTTCTAACAAGTAATGGCGCACCTTATAAACAGTGCACCATTACTATTTTTTTTTTACTTTTTTGCAAAGCTGCTAATGGCGCACCGTGTCAAAGTGCGCCATTACTAGTTTAAACTACTAATGGGCACTTTTTGATATCATGAATATTTTTAAATTTCATGGACACTTTTTGATCTCGATCTCGATCCCATCCGCACCCTCCCCCGCTAGCTCCACCGCCGCCGCCGACCCACCGCAACCCTCCCCCGCTCCACCGCCGCCAACGGGCACCCCCCACACCCTCCCCCGCTCCACCGCCGCCGCCGATGATATTTTCAAGTAACAAATTTGAACATATTTTTAAAAAAATTATTACTGTTTTTATAAAAAAATATTACTGTTATGATTTAAACAAGTTTGAACATATTTAAACACAAATAAATATCAAACAGGATTTAAAATACATAAAAAAATATTGGGGAGCCTGGGAATCGAACCCAGGACCTCCTGGTGTGTGTGTTGCGTACTG